TTTTATCTAATATAACTACATTATGAACATAGTCGTTGTTATTAGCCTGGATGATGATTGATGAACTGATGTTTTAGATTTAACTACTGAATACAAAAATATTTGTGTCTAACTAACAATCAATTTCATAAACAATGTCTAGTTTATTGCCTTATGTTAACATGACATTATACAAAAAGTAATAATGTATGAGCTTGTTTGTCTTTTCTGATTGATACATTTTTACCATTTTTAGGTCAGGACAAGTAAGTCTTAGGTCAGGGCAAGTAGTTTTAAAAACTACTTGCCCGACAGGACAACCTGATTCAAAAAGTTAATGTCTAGGCCTGGTATGTTGCTCATTCTTTGAAGGATTACAAAATAATTTGGTACAAATGTTCACCATGATGGGGTGGTGTGTTGCAAACAAAGCAGAGGTATTCTACCCAAAGTTCAAGGTCACACTTGGTGGTCAGCGCAAAACCTGTGCTCAGAGTGTAACTTCCACATGCATGAAGGGATTTTGATACAACTCAGGACAAATTGTCTTCATGGTGAGGCTGAGTGTTCTGCCAAAAATTCAGGTGTCTGTTAAAGGTGAAAGCCATACTTAGGGGTCAAAGATCAAATAAAATAACATGTTCATTTGAAAGTATAACTTCTATATTCATGGATGGATTTTGATATAATGTTCTCTGTGTTGAGTTGAGTTGTCTCACACAAAATGAAGGTCAAGGTTCAAAGATGTCCGAGGTGAAATAAAAATTTTGTTTGTTGGGGCTGTATCTTGCATATGCTTTGAAGTATTATGCTTAGTGGTCATAGGACTTTTAAATTGTTGAGCTCGCTTGTGGTGAGGTCCAATTAGTCGCCACTTTTCATTTTGGCGGTTTGGTGTATGTGAGTCTGTCAGTCCGTGCGTTTGTCGTCTAAATTTATCGGGTCTGCATTTTGCTCATTCTTTGAATTATTACAAAATTGTTTGATACAAATGTTCACCATGATTGGGTGGTGTGTCAGATCTCCTCGCGAAAGAAAACACACAAGTTAATATTTGGTAAAAGTTTTACCTCCGTACTTTAAACGACATCTCCTCATAAACCACTTAGCCAATTTCATCCTAACTTCACAGGAATGTTCCTTTGGTAGTCAACTTGTTCGTCGTCAAGCAGAACTCTGGTTGCCATGGCAACTGAAAGAAAAAAACTTAAAATATCTTCTTTCAGAAAACCGAAAGAGCTAGAGCTTAAATATTTGGCATGAATTATAATCTGATTTTCCTTATTTGTATATAGTAAAAACTTAAAAAATCTTCTTTTAAAAAGCCCAAATAGCTAGAGCTTAAATATTAAGCATAAAACATCCTCTAGTGCGTGTCTACCAAGTTTGTTCAAATAAAAGCCCTGGGGTAAAAATTGGCCTTGCCCCAGGGGGGTCATTGAATTTCCTCATTTGTATATAGTAAAAACTAAAATAATCCTCTATATAAAAACCAAAATAGCTAGAGCTTAGATATTAAGCATGAAACATCTTCTAGTGGGTGTCTACCAAGTTTGTTCAAATAACCGCCCTGGGGGGTCAAAATTGGCCCCGCCCCAGGGGTCATTGTTTTTCATTTTATGTATATAGTAAAACCTTAAAGTATCTTCTTTTAAAAACCCCAAAGAGCTAGAGCTAAGATATTTAGCATGAAACATCTTCTAATGGGTGTCTACCAAGTTTGTTCAAATAAGGGCCCTTAGGTTAAAATTGGCCCAGTCCTGGGGGTCATTGATTTTCCTTATATGTGTATAGTAAAAACTTAAAAAAAAATTCTGATAAAAAACTCAAAGAGCTAGAGCATGAAATATCTTCTAGTGCGTCTGTGCGTCCCCACTTAATTTATGGCCGGACTGTAAATTTGTAATGCATTGAATGATTTTAAAATAACTTGGCATAAATGTCTACCACATCAATACGATGTGTCACATCTAAGAATTATGTCTCTACCTCAAAGGTCAAGGTCACACTATCATTTTGAAGTTTCACATTATCACAATTATAGTAAATAGGTACAGCATGCCCACTCAATTTCAAACGTAGGGGTACATGTACCCCCTGTCATTGAAAATTGGGGGTACATTTCAAAATCTGGGGGTACACATAGTAATAAGTTTAAAAATGTTTTTGTTTGTAAGAACATTTTAGTCAACATGATATTAATGAACAGTGTTTCACTAAGTATTACTACCCACTAACACAGAAACAAACTCATCACTTGAGGTAGCAATATAACAGCCATTACAATCACTTGTTAAGTCCATACGATTATCACCCATAACCAAAATTTTGTATATCTGAAATTATGAACATTTATTTCAAAATCTCAATATGACATAGATAAAGCTCACAATTGAAGGTAGTTATTAAAAAATAAAGTGACTAACTTTTTGCTGATCATTGGAGAACACAAAATACTTTTTGGAAGTTGTAGATATCCAAAACTTTTTTTCTTAAGACAGTACATGTGACGTCAAAACATGACTAAAATATTTACGAATCAGACTGAGATGACTTTGAAAGCAGACATGCAATTGTGACCGGGTTTAGACTGTTCCTAACTATTGGTAGATGGCAACAACATTTAGTTGATATGCAAATAAGGCTATCCCAAACATTCATTCTGACAATTTTACTTTGCGTGCATGTACCCCCTACTTACAATTTTTATGCGTGCATCTAGAATTTTTGCATGAATTACGCATTGAAGTGCGTGAATGGGCATGCTGAGGTACACACAATCGTGTCCGGACTGTTACTTTGTCATGCATTGAATGATTTTAAAATAACTAGGCATAAATGTCTACCACATCAAGATGATGTGTCGCGTCAAAGAATTACGTCTCTACCTAAAAGGTCAAGGTCACACTATCATTTTGAAGTTTCACTTCATCACAATTAGTGTTAATAGGTACACAAATTTGTGTCCAGGCTGTAACTTTGTCATGCATGGAAGGATTTTAAAATAACCAGGCATAAATGTCTACCATATCAAGACGATGTGTCGCGAACAAGACCCATGTCGCTACCTTCAAGATCAAGGTCACATTTATAGTTTGAAGGTCACAAGAAGAGTTTGAAGATACCCATTCATGTCCGGACTGTAACTTTGTCATGCATAGAAGGATTTTAAAATAACTTGGCACAAATGTTTACCACATCAAGACAATGTGTCACGGCTAAGGCTCATGTCCGTGTGTCCCCACTTACACAACAATCATGTCCAGACTGTAATTTTGTCATGCATTGAGGGATTTTGAAATTATTTGGCACACATGTCTATCTCATAACAACATTTTGTCGCATCCAGGAACCATGTTCCTTCTTCAAAGGTCAAGGTCACACTTATATTTTGAAGGTTCATGCTATCAAGAACAATATTCAACAATTAGTTACTTTCATCCTCTTTTCTTTTCAATATACCTGCATGCTTAAGAAACCTTTTCGGAGGCAATCGTCTCTTGGGTGACAGCTCTTGTTCCCTATATGTATAAAGTGAAAACTTAAAAAATCTTCTTATAAAAACCCCAAAGAGCTAGAGCTTAGATATTTATCATGAAACATCTTCTAATAGGTGTCTACCAAGTCTGTTCAAATAAAAGCCCCTGGTTTAAGATTGGCCTTGGCCCAGGGGCCTATAAACAAGTGAGCGATTTCTTGGCCATCATGGCCCTCTTGTTTATGAATCTTAAACTCCGACCTTGCTCCTTATTTAATTTTGGTGGGAAAAATTCACATGTTCACAATTGTTCACGATTATCATGCTTTTCTTGTAATTATTAGTTCTTTTGGCTCTAATTTTTGGCTACTATATATATTGATGTTATTGTTCTCTAGCCAGAGTTGTAAAAAAGAGTTGTTAAAAGTCATTGCAAAAAGTGGATATTAAAAGGAGTTACTAAAATTGTGAATGTAGGAGTTTGGTATTAAAGGAAAAATTAGAAGTGAAGAAATGGATTTAAAGTGTTTGTATTATTTCAGTGTAGTTAAAAAGTGTTGAAAATTCGCTACAATGGCTCTCATTTACACTGATCACGAAAATATGAAAATGCCACTGTTTAGTAGGCGTGTAAAAGGAAAGTGACAGATGACATGTGTTAAGTTAAACATGCAAGAATAACTTCAGCTAACAACAAGGGTTGGGCGATCGTCCTATGGAACTGTTTATTATGTCACCTTGCTGTCAATTAGTAACACAATATTTAATCCGCTATCATCCAGAATATGGACAGATAACACTCAATCCCAAGGGCGCGGTTTACATTTTATATACAGTTGCTGTTTGATTTTTTAGCTCACCTGAGCTTGCTCAGGGTGAGCTATTAGGATCGGTGAATGTCCGTCGTCCGTCGTACGTCCACAATTGCTTGTGAACACTCTAGCGGTCACATTTTTGAACCAATCATCATCAAACTTTGTCAGAATGCTTGCTTAGTAAATTGCTTGGATGAGTTCGAACATGGCTCATCTCCGATGAAAATCTAGGTCACAGGAGCTATAAATAGAAAAACCTTGTGAACACTCTAGCGGTCACATTTTTGAACCAATCATCATCAAACTTGGTCAGAACGCTTGTCTAGTCAATTGCTTGGATGAGTTTGAATATAGGTCATCTCGTGTCAAAAGTGAGATCACAGGAGCTAAAAATAGAAAAATCTTGTTAACACTCTAGTGGCTGCAGTTTTTATCCAAATATCCTTGAAATTGGTCAGAAAGGTTGTTTTGATGATTTCTAGGTCAACTTAAAATATCGGTCATCTCGGATCAAAATCTTATTGTATCAAAATAAAATTGGATTGAGCCTTCATAGTCAGGTGAGCGATATAAGGGCCATCATGGCCCTCTTGTTTAAAATCCTACTGGGATATCACATGTATGTGAAGATAACAAACTCCAGTCACCCCTCAATACAACTGCTTGATTGGCTTACAGATCAGGCTACAGAGTAATTTCTAATTACTATTTAATTTTCATTGTACCAGAGTTGTAGATGTTGGCACAGAGTGGAGAACATTCAGTAATGAGAAAAGCAATAAAGATCCATCTAGAGTTGGTGCTGCAGAGGTACGTTATGTTAATATTATAATCTTTGTGAAAGTGATCGAAATTTTGTTTATATGTATTGTTGAACTTTTTTTTCATTTTTTGCTCTAGGAAAAGTCCACCCTTGGTCTTATAGGTAGTTGATCAATAATTCAAGAGCACCTACAGGCCAAAGATTTGGTTTTGAGGTTTGTCATGATTGGTTGATTTTGATGAAGGTTAGTTGGCCAAAACTTGTTGGGTGCCAAGAACAAAAGTTAACAGTAAATGCTATTCATTCAGTCAGTATTGTTGGGTACTTTATGTTTTGAATGGGCGCTTTTCAGTAAATGAAATGCCATGTTGTCTGTAAAGGAAGTCATGATGTCGCTTAAGTTAAACCACAAAACTTAATTCAAAAACTTCATTCTATTGAACTTTCCAATGTAGCTTGCGCAATTAGTATACAGCATATAACATGCTCGATGTCATCAAAGATTGTGTTCAATAAACTGCAACTAGGGTCAAAAGTTGGCTTTACTTAACAGTGTATTGATTTTTTGCCATAGGATTGACTCAGTTAGAACTATGATCTTAAAGATCTGTCTCTATCCCAATGCTGTGTTAGAACCTTAAAGCATAAACATTTTTGAGCTAATCATACCAAACGTTGTTCAAGAAGCCTTGGGTCAAAGTTGGCATGTTCGCCCATGGCTTTCGTATATAGATTGGTCACAGGACTATGAATATAGTTAAAACCTTGTGAAACACTCTTTTAGCGACACAAAGAGTTGAATTTTTCCATTTTTTTTAGGAAAAGTCACTTTCTTTATAACAATATTAAGACACAAGCAATTTTTTTGAGGTTTTCATGATGTGACTTGATAAGTTATTAAACGTTGGTCCAAGAAAAAAGTTACAAATGCTATTATAATATATTTGTAATTTATTTACGTTTTATAAATGATACATAATTCTTGTAATATTTCATTTATTACAATTAATGTAAACTTAATTTAAAATTATAAATATATTACAACTTATTATATTTACATATTATTGTTAATGTAGATAAAAATAGAATTGTTGGTTTAAGTATATGGATTTTTTATTAAATATAAAATTAATGTAATTTATTATAAATTACATTTTATTGCAAAGATAAATATAAGTAAAACTAATATCACAGTTGTTCAATAACAGCTGGTTTAATGGGAGGGGCTTAAATGTTCATAACATTCTTTTTTGTTTATTATACCATTATATCCCCACAAACGGAAGTATGGGGGGTTATGTAGGAGTCAGCTTGTCGGTCGAACGGTCAATCGGTCCATTGTTCGGTCCACATCATGGTTTCAGGATGATAACTAGAGTTTGGAATGACTTATTGTAATCAAACTTGGTATATAGCAACCAATTATGTGAAAACAACGGTTGGTTTTTAGCTCGACTATTCGATAAGAATAAGTAGAGCTATTGTAGTCACCCGAGCGTCGGCGTCAGTGTCCGCATCGGCGTCTGCGTCGGCGTAACCACTTATGTTAAAGTTTTTGTAATAGTTCAAATATTTTCAAAGTCCATTGACATATGGCTTTGAAACTTTGCACACTTGTTCACCATCATGACCCCAACCTGTAGACAGGAGGAGGTAACTCTATCAAGCATTTTGACAGAATTATGCCCCTTTTTCGACTTAGAATTTACGTTCAAGTTTTTGTAATAGTTCAAATATTTTCAAAGTCCATTGACATATGGCTTTGAAACTTTGCACACTTGTTCACCATCATGACCCCAACCTGTAGACAGGAGGAGGTAACTCTATCAAGCATTTTGACAAAATCATGCCCCTTTTTCGACTTAGAATTTACGTTAAAGTTTTTGTAATAGTTCAAATATTTTCAAAGTCCATTGACATATGGCTTTGAAACTTTGCACACTTGTTCATCATCATGACCCCAACCTGTAGACAGGAGGAGGTAACTGTACCAAGCATTTTGACAAAATCATGCCCCTTTTTCGACTAAGAATTTACGTTAAAATTTTGTAATAGTTCAAATATTTTCAAAGTCCAATGACATATGGCTTTGAAACTTTGCACACTTGTTCACCATCATGACCCCAACCTGTAAACAGGAGGAGGTAACTGTATCAAGCATTTTTTTTTACTATCAAGCACTAAGAATAGTCGAGCATTGCTGTCCTACCGACAGCTCTTGTTTTTTTTGGACCCCCTTGGGTCAATGTCAATTTCACTGTTACCAGAAATACTGTATTCCTAGAAAAGTTTTCGTGCGTTTTAAGTTAGCGCTTTTCGCGGTAGGCATGATTCCGCAAATCTTAATAGCCTCGAATATGGTACTTATAACAAACCTGCGAACATTTCTAGCTTTAACCAAATAAAAACGTAAACCTGTAGAATATTTTTATAATTTACTTACATAGCGATCAAGTGCTACATTGATAAACAGCTGTTATGTTGTTATAATGAAAGCGCTGTACAGTGTAATTAATTATGTATCAACATTTTGAAGAAAAAGTCAGTTATGATTCAAATGAGAAATAAAAAAAACTAATTGCTCTTACTTATTCTTACTTAATCACACAGTGAAAAAGGTCAGGAATTAAGTAAAAAGTGTTTACGGAACAACCGTCCGTGTTCGACTAGTTAATAAATGAAAAGGTATCGAGTAATGTAGCGCTTTAGGCGAGACTTGTTAAAAAAATAAAAAAAATAAAAGAACCCAAAAGCAAGGTCATGCATCGAAAACGTAGCCTCTAAAAACTGTAATTTGTGCCGTAGCGACTAAATATTTGCAGAATTTGCGCATACTACAATCCTCGAAAGTTTGTCTCCGCGAAAATGCCGACGTTGTGAAAAAAGGGAAATATTGAATTCGCGAACATTTCTAGGAATACAGTAGAAGAATGGTGTCCGGACAATAATTAGGAATCAGGTATTGTTATCAAACTTGGTATTTAGCAACCTTATGTGGAAATGCTGGTGAGTATTGCAATTTGGACCCCCTGGGGTCAAGGTCACCATTACTAAATATAACAAATGGTTTCTGGATAATAATTTTAAGGGAATGAGATATTGTAATGAAACTTGGTTTATAGCAAGTTTATATGAAGATCCTGGTTGGGATTGCAATTAATTGAAATAATTCTTTGTACACAATTGATACTTCATTATATCCCCGCACAACAAAGTTGTAACGGGGGTATACTGGAATCAACTTGTTCATCTGGCCGTCGGTCAGTTTTTCCTTGTCCACCCTATAACTTAAGGTTCCTTTGACCCACAGTCATCATATTTAGTTTTGAGATTGGTCATGATAAGTAGATGACCCCTATTGATTTTCAGGTAACCAGGTCAAAAGTCAAGGTCACAGGGACCTAGACTTCAAAAAGCTTGTCTGCCCAATAGCTTAAGATTCCTTTGACCCACAGTCTTCATATTTGGCATGGAGGTTAGTCATCACCATTAGAAGACCCCTATTGATTTAAGGTTACTTGGTCAAAGGTAAAGGTCACAAGGGCCTTGACTTCAAAAAGATTGTCTTTTGATTTTTAGGTGACTGTGTCAAATGTCAAGGTCACAAGGGCCTTGACTTCAAAAAGATTGTCTTTTGATTTTTAGGTGACTGTGTCAAATGTCAAGGTCACAGGGGCTTTTACTACAATAAGCTTGTCTGCTCAAATGCTTAAGAATGCTTGTCCACTGTGTAATGATTTTGACTTTTTCACATTTGAAGTATATAATTATGTTTATATATTCATCATAAAACCCCCCCAGGAAAAGCTGCATGAATAGGGGGAGGGGTATTCAAGTCATGCAGTAGCAGTTTCATTTTTCAGGTCAGTAGGTCAAAGGTAAAGGTCACTTTGATCTTTACCTCTAAAAACATGTAGAATATATAACTAGCAATGCACTGGCGTACTAACTACAGATTTGGCAGAGAGGTTGTCCTTGAGTTCTAAATGACCACTGTTGATTCTGACCAGTGGTATATGGTATTCACGCCATAACAATGGCAGGTCTAGTTTAATCTAGGTTGAGTAACTCTAGTTCAAATTTTCTTTCAGACCACTTATTTTTCAGAGTTGCTGTTGGGGGTATTAATCACCTTTAGTGATAGCTCTAGTTGAATCAGTACAATGTATATACTATTTAATGTTAATGATGAATAAACAATCTGTGTGCCAATTTTAGAATCCATTGTTGGAAGGTGGAGATTTGTCAACTGGAATTGCCATAGATCCCAAAAGTACCCAAATGGATGAGTTTGGCAAACCTATGTATAGAAACAGACGTACTGTAAGTACAATTTTTCTCAGAGCATCATAGCTACATATAATGCTAATGCATATGATAGACCACTCTTGGTTGATTATTACATGTGCTGAAAAGGTAAAAGATTCATTATATGGCTTATTCATTTAGTCTTTAATACATTGCAATTCTGTTTACTATTTATAAATGAACAAGCACTGCAAAAAATATATGGATATACGTAAGTATAAGGAATTCCATATACAGGTATCATTAATATAAGGGTAAAAATTTGGGAAATTTAAAACATGACCATGTTTTAAGCAAATCTTTATATGACTAATATACAGAGATATGTACACTCAAAATATACACAAACTCTGTTGTACAAAGTCTGTATATAATAAAATACAGAATTATTAATCAAGTCTGTGTATTACCAAAATAAGAAAATTTTGTATTCTTGCAAATGCAGATTCTCTATATGAAAATTTACAGATTTGATTTATACTTGAACAAAAGTACACATATGACAAAACCAACATGCTGAATTATGATCTTGAACTTTAAATTGATCTTGATCATCGCGGCCAAATTATAAAAAATTGTAATAACTTTGTTATTTACCTTAATTAACTTAAATTAGATATGGATTTGATTCATACTTGAACAAAAGAACACTTATGACATTATACGTGATGTTTCTTCTAATGTGATCTTAACCAGTGAATTTGAGTTATATTTTGTACAATAAAATTATGTTTTCTTGGTGGATTCTTAACTACAATATTCTTCCTCAGATGTGTTTGACTTTAGAAATTAGAAAAAGTTGAATGTGACCATCTCTAGGAGGTGGCTGTTGTCACTTTGAAATTTAATATTTAAAGAAATAATAATAATTATGTTACTATTTTTAGATGAACAGTGCTGACAGAGCATTATCAAATGCATTCAGAGAGATTGGTGATATGGCTGAAAGGTTAAATCTTCCTCGAATGGTTGCAGTAGGTCTAAATTTAATAGTTATTTCCTGTACATATTCTACTAAAATATTCATCAAAGTCTGTAAATGAAAACATACATTTAGAAATATTACCAGATAGAGAAAAGAATTTAAACAAGTCTCAGCATTGTAAACTTAAAAAGAGAAAAATCTCACATATAACAAAGAATAGGTTGAAATGATTGTTAAAACAGTCTAATTTGCCCATGTGACCATGTGTATTAAGCGACTTTTGTCTTATATGCGACCACTGTAAATTACCCCAATCATATTGCTTTGCATTTGTCTGTCTGTCGGTCCATAGACCAAATGGTTTCCAAGTGATAACTAAAGAACCCTTAGGCCTGGGAACTCGTTATGGTGATTGGTCATGACCAGTAGATGACCCCTATTGATTTTAAGGTCAAGGGGTCAATGGTCAAGGTTACATTGACCTTGTAAGTGAAAACGGTTTCCGAGCAATAACTAAAGAACGCTTAGGCCTAGGAACTTCAAACTTGGTATGGTGATTGGTCATGACCAGTAGATGACCCCTATTGATTTTGGGGTCAAGGGTTTAAAGGTAAGGTCACTTTGACTTGAATTTAAAAACGGTTTCCACTCAATACCTAAAGGACTCTTAGGAGTCAAAGGTCAAGGTCATATTAACCTTGTAGGTGAAAACGGTTTCCGATCAATAACTTGACAAGCCCATAGCTGTTGGCCCTCAAACTTTGTAGGTGCATTGGTCTTGGCCAGTAGATGACCCCTATTGATTTTGGGGTCAAGGGGTCAGTGTCATTTTGACCTCGTACTTAAAGACGGCTTCTGACCAATAAATCAACAACTCAAGTTGCCTTGGTTGATATTTTTATATTTAACTAAAAATGCTTTTGGTATACTCATTTGAAGGTCTTATGTAATATAACAACTTGGCTATCATTAATGAGGCCTACATGATTCATAAAATTTATGCACATATTATTTTGTAAGATTTGTAATAACTTCAATTGCTGCACACAACCTATGCGGTCACAATAATTATTACCTTGTGACTAGTCATGACCAGTAGATAAACCTTATTAATTTTTTGTTCTCAAGGTCAGAAGTCATGCATAATAACCTGATCACATGACTATTTGGCTGCCTATAGGGGGCATACATGTTTTACAAACATATCTTGTTTCTCTATCTATATCTTCAATGTATTAAGCAAATTTTGCTCAACGTGACCAGCGACTGTTGCACACATTCAAATCAAATTTGACATATGGATATGTCATGAGAAAATACAGGTCAAGTTTGAATTTGGTCATCTTTCAATGAATTTTGGCAGAGTTATGCCCCTTTTACTTTGAAAATAATATGAAATTTTCAGTTTTGTGTATTATCTCCCAAACGGTATTACACATTCAGCTCAAACTTGACATATAGATATGTCATGAGAAAATACAGGTCAAGTTTGAATTTGGTCATAGTTCAATGATTTTTGGCAGAGTTATGCCCCTTTTACTTTGAAAATAATATGAAATTTTCAGTTTCCGTTCCTTATCTCCCCAACGGTATTACACATTCAGCTCAAACTTGACATATGGATACATCAAAAGAATGTGCAGGTCAAGTTCAAATTTGGCCATGGTTCAATGATTTTTGGCAGAGTTATATCCCTTTCACTTTGAAAATAATATGAAATTTTCAGTTTCTGTTCATTACCTCCTCTAGGGTATTACACATTCAATTCAAACTTGACATATGGATATGTCAAAGAAATGCGCAGGTCAAGTTCAAATTTGGTCATAGTATGATGATTTTTGGCAGAGTTATACCCCTTTAACTTTGAAATAAAAAGGAAATTTTCAGTTCCCATTCATTATCTTCCCAACAGTTGTACATATTCAACTCAAATTCAAGATATGAATATGTCATAAGAATGCATTGGTCAGTTTTGAATTTGGTCATGGTTTGATGATAATTGACAGAGTTATCCCTCTTGAACTTTGAAAAAAAATCAGAAATTTTAAGTTTCCGTTCATTATCTCTCCAATGGTTGTACACATTCAACTCAAATTTGACATATAGATACATCTTAGGAATAAGCAGTTCAAGTTTAAATTTGGTCGTGGTTCAATGATTTTGGACAAAGTTATCTTTCTTGAATGTTGGAAAATTTTGAATTTTCAGTTTCAGCACTCATACTTTTGTGGAAATGTATGTAGCCATTATTTTGGCTACAAATATGCAATATGCAATTTACAAAAGGTTAACACTGAATAGTTTCAGTGCCTTGAACTTTGTATAAAAATGGTTTGTGTTAACATTGAAGGCTTTGAACTTAAAATGAAAAAAATAATTTGTGCAAACAAATTTGGAACTAAATATTATAACATCTGAAATTTTGGCTGCATGCGGGGGCGTGACGATAAGGAAAGATATAAAGATTTTTGACTTTTTCTCATGCTTTGTCTTCAGAGACCATTGCATTATGCAATCATGTTTGGTGTTTCCGTTACGTGGTTGCTTAATACATGTTTGACTCTATATCAAATTAGTCCAGTTTTAGTTGATATGTAGAGTGTATATATATGGAATATTATGTTGTAGAAGCTTTCTGAGGCTTTGTATTTTGCTACGAGCAGCGGTGGAAAATTGATATCTTGCGAGAACGAAGGTCGAGCGAGATATCAATTTTCCAACGTTGCGAGTAGAAAAATACATAGCCTCAGAAAGCTACTACAACATAATTTTCCTTTTATTATATACCTTTTTAGCTCACCTGAGCTTGCTCAGGGTGAGCTTTTAGGATCGGTGAATGTCCGTCGTCCGTCGTCCGTCCGGCCGTCCACAATTACTTGTGAACACTCTAGCGGTCGCATTTTTGCCTCAATCATCATCAAACTTGGTCAGGATGCTTATCTAGTTGAAAGCTCGGATGAGTTCGAACATGGGTCATCTCGGATGAAAAACTAGGTCACAAGAGCTAAAAATAGAAAAACCTTGTGAACACTCTAGAGGTCACATTTTTGACCCAATCATCATCAAACTTGGTCAGGATGCTTGTCTAGGTGATAGCTTGGATGAGTTCGAACATGGGTCATCTCGGATGAAAAAGTAGGTCACAGGAGCTATAAATAGAAAAACCTTGTGAACACTCTAGTGGTCACATTTTTGAACCAATCATCATCAAACTTGGTCAGAATGCTTGTCTAGTCAATTGCTTGGATGAGTTCGAACATGGGTCATCTCTGATGAAAAACTAGGTCACAGGAGCTAAAAATAGAAAAACCTTGTGAACACTCTAGTGGTCACATTTTTGACCCAATCATCATCAAACTTTGTCAGGATGCTTGTTTAGATAATAGCTCGGATGAGTTCAAATATGGGTCATCTCGGATGAAAAACTAGGTCACCGGAGCTATAAATAGAAAAACCTTGTGAACACTCTAGTGGTCACATTTTTGCATTAATCATCATCAAACTTGGTCAGGATGCTTATCTAGTTGATAGCTTGGATGAGTTCGAACATGGGTCATCTCGGATGAAAAAGTAGGTCACCAGAGCTAAAAATAGAAAAACCTTGTTAACACTTTAGCGGTCACATTTTTGCATCAATCATCATCAAACTTGATCAAGATGCTTGTCTAGGTGATAGCTCGGATGAGTTCGAACATGGGTCATCTCGGATGAAAAACTAGGTCACAGGAGCTAAAAATAGAAAAACCTTGTTAACACTCTAGTGGTCACAATTTTGACTCAATTGTCATCAAACTTGGTCAGGAAACTTGTCTAGGTCATTGCTGGGAATAAATCGAACATGGGACATTTCGGATGAAAAACTAGGTCACAGGAGCTAAAAATAGAAAAAATCTTGTTAACACTCTAGTGGCTACTGTTGTGATCCAAATATTCTGTTAATTGGTCTGAAAGTTTGTTTTGATGATTTCTAAGTCAAGATCGAACATGGGTCATCTTGGATGAAAAACTAGGTCACACCGCCCAAATATGGAAAAACCTTGTTAACATTCTAGTGGTCACATTTTCGACTCAATTATCATCAAACTTGGTCAGGATGTTTGTCTAGGTAATTGCTTGGATGAGTTCGAAATCGCATGTGAAACTAGGTCACCGGAGCTAAAAATAGAAAAATCTTGTTAACACTCTAGTTGCTACTGTTTTGATCCAAGTATCCTGGAAATTGGTCTGAAAGTTTTTTTTGATGATTTCTAGGTCAAGTTTGAATATGTGTCACCTGGGTAAAAAACTAGGTCGCACTGCTCAAATATGGATAATCCTTGTTAACACTGTAGTGGTCACATTTTTGACTAACCTGTCATGAGACTTGGTCAGAATGCTTGTCTAGGTAATTGTTTGGATGAGTTTGATAATTCAGGTGAGCGATCTAGGGCCATCATGGCCCTCTTGTTTGTTTTATTCAGAAAATGAAATGTAATTGTCAAGAAATAAATGCATGACTGACAAATGAATACGTAATTGCAAAACCAGCGCCTTTAATAATTTTGGTTCCCGTTTCCAAATGCAACGTTATACAAACCTGAGATCGGAACCAGTGTCAAAAATAGTCCGGCACTTCCATATATGGTACCGTATTTGTCACTAACATTATACAGAAATTTCTATCCGTTGAAGCGTATTTGGGCTTCAAGATGTGCGTGTATTTTAGGGAGAAAATTTATAGGTATATACAAATGTAATCAGAATTATTATTGTCTTGTCGACTCAAATACATGTATTTGTTAAAAAGAAATACAATGATTGGTAGTTATATTGACTGACTTCTCTTTGCGATGAAAATTAAACTGTGGTAACTTGTGATAATCTATGAAAAATGTTCTTTATGTACATTATTAATCTGTGAACACTGTTTATGTATAGGATAAAGCAAACACATTGTTTAAACAAGTCAATGACACAAAATCACTGAAGGGTCGCAGTAATGATGCTGTATGTTCAGCTTGTATGTACATAGCTTGTAGACAGGAAGGTGTGCCAAGAACATTTAAAGGTAAATGTTATTTACATGCTCCTATATTTTTAGCTCACCAGAGCAAAACATGTTCAAGGTAAGCTGTTGTGATACCCCAATATCAGACATATGTTGTTAACATTTTTAGCTCACCTGTCACAAAGTGACAGGGTGAGCTTTTGTGATCGCTTTTCGTCAGGCGTCCGGCCGTTATCTTTTACTTTAAATGACATCTCCTCATAAACCACTAAGCCAATTTCATCCAAACTTCACAGGAATGTTCCTTTGGTGGTCACCTTTAAAAAGTGTTCAAAGAATTTAATTCCATGCAGAACTCTGGTTGCCATGGCAACCGAAAGAAAAAACTTTAAATATCTTCTTTTAAAAAACCCAAAGAGCTAGAGCTTAGATATTTGGCATGAAACATCTTCCAGTGAGTGTCTACCAAGTTTGTTCAAATAAAAGCCCTGGGGTCAAAATTGGCCCTGCCCCAGGGGGTCATTGATTTTCCCTATATGCATATAGTAAAAACTTAAAAAGTCTTCTTTTAAAGAACCAAAAGAGCTAGAGCTAAGATATTTAGCATGAAACATCTTCTAATGAGTGTCTACCAAGTTTGTTCAAATAAAATCCCTGGGGTCAAAATTGGCCCCGCCCCAAGGGGTCATTGATTTTCCCTAAATGCATATAGTAAAAACTTAAAAGTCTTCTTTTAAAGAACTCAAAGAGCTAGAGCTAAGATATTTAGCATGAAACATGTTCTAATGAGTGTCTACCATGTTTGTTCAAATAAAAGCCCTGGTGTCAAAATTTGCCCTGCCCCGGGGGTCATTGATTTTCCTTATATGTGTATGGCAAAAACTTAAAAATCTGCTTTGAAAAAATCCAAATAGCTAGAGTTTAGATATTAAGCATGAAACATCTTCTAGTGAGTGTCTACAAAGTGTGTTCAAATAAAAGCCCTAGGGTCAAAACTGGCCCTGCCCCAGGGGTGTCATTGTTTTTAACTATATGTGTATAGTAAAAACTTAAAAAATCTTCTTTTAAAAACCCCATTGAGCTAGAGCTAAGATGTTTAGCATGAAACATCTTCTTATGGGTGTCTACCAAGTTTGTTCAAATAAAAGCCCTTAGGTTAAAATTGGCCCTGGGGGGGAGGTCATTGTTATCCCCCGCCGATGGAATCGGGAGGGGGATATAGTTTTGGCGTTGTCCGTCCGTCCTTCTGTCCGTCCGTCCGAATTTCGTTTCCGGAGTAGTTCTCTGCAACTACTGGCTGGAATTCAACAAAACTTTATGGGAATCATCAATATCAAGAGGAGATGCGCATATCGTCGGCTTGTTCCGGTCAGACACTTTAACTCAGAGTTATGGCCCTTGATTAGTTATGCAGTGTCCATATAGAAAAATATTTGTTTCCTCGCTACTTTTCTGCTACTACTGGCTGGAATTCAATGAAACTTTATGGGATACTAAGAGGAGATGTGCATATAGTCGCCTTGTTCCAGTCAGATACTTATAACTCAGATTTATGGCCCTTGATTAGTTATGTAGTATGCATACATCTCATTGGCATTTCCAGATTTTACTATTTAACACAAAGTTATGGCTCTGTTATTGCCCTGAATATTTATCAAGTTCAAAGAATATTACTGTTTATGCCATGATTAATATATAAATAAAGCCTTATGTCTTCAGTTGTTGTGTTAATAATAACCAGTACTCTGCGGGGGATATAAATTCAACGAATTTGCTTGTTAGCTCACCTGAGCACGAAGTGCTCAAAGGTGAGCTTTTGTCATCACTCTGCGTCCGTCGTGCGTCGTGCGTCGTGCGTCGTGCGTCCTTCAAAAAATGGCGTCAAACTTTTCAAACAACATCTCCTCCTAAACTACATGGCCAATTGCAACCAAACTTTACAGAAATGATCCTTAGGTGGACCCCTTTCAAAGTTGTTCAAAAATTTAAATTCCATTAAAAACTCTGGTTGCCATGGCAACCATTAAGAAAAACTTAAAAAATCTTCTTCTAAAAAACCGTAAGAGCTAGAGCTTAGATATTTGGCATGAAACATCTTCTAATGAGTGCCTACCAAGTTTGTTCAAATCAAAGCCCTAGGGTCAAAATTGGCCCCGCCCCAGGGGGTCATTGATTTTCCCTATATGCATATAGTAAAAACTTAAAAAATCTTCTTTTAAAGAACTCAAAGAGCTAGAGCTAAGATATTTAGCATGAAACATGTTCTAATGGGTGTCTACCAAGTTTGTTCAAATAAAAGCCCTGGGGTCAAAATTGGCTCCGCCCCGGGGGTCATTGATTTTCCTTATATGTGTATAGCAAAAACTTAAAAAATCTTCTTTAAAAAAACCCAAATAGCTGGAGTTTAGCTATTTAGCATGAAACATCTTCTAGTGAGTGTCTACAAAGTTTGTTCAAATCAAAGCCCTAGGGTCAAAATTGGCCCCGCCCCGGGGGTCATTGATTTTCCTTATATGACTTTGTATAGCAAAAACTTAAAAATCTTCTTTGAAAAAACCCAGATAGCTAGTGTTTAGATATAAAGCATGGAACATCTTCTAGTGAGTGTCTACCAAGTTTGTTCAAATAAAAGCCCTAGGGTCAAAATTGGCCCCGCCCCAGGGTGTCTTTGATTTTCCCTATATGCATATAGTTAAAACTTAAAAATTCTTCTTTTAAAGAACCCAAAGAGCTAGAGCTAAGATATTTAGCATGAAACATCTTCTAATGAGTGTCTACAAAGTTTGTTCAAATAAAAGCCCTAGGGTCAAAATTGGCCCCGCCCCCGGGGGTCATTGATTTTCCCTATGTGCATATAGTAAAAACTTAAAAAATCTTCTTTTAAAGAACTCAAAGAGCTAGAGCTAAGATATTTAGCATGAAACATGTTCTCATGGGTGTCTACCAAGTTTGTTCAAATAAAAGCCCTGGGGGTCAAAATTGGCCCCGCCCCGGGGGTCATTCATTAGCTTGACTTTTTTTTTTTTAGATATATACATATTATATATATACACATATATATTTAATATTTATATATATATATATATATATATATAAATATATATAAATATATATATATATATATATATATATATATATATATATACATATATATATATATACATATATATAAACATATTATGATATATATATATATATTATATATATACACATATATATTTAATATTTATATATATATATATATAATTATAAATATATATATATATATATATATATATATATATATATATATATATATATAAAGGTATATATATATATATATATATATATATATATATATAGATATATATATATACATATATATATACATATATATATATATATATATATTATATATATATATATATATATATATATATATATATATATATATATACATATTATGATATATATATATATATATATATATATATATATATATATATATATATATATATATATATATATATATATATAAATATATATATATATATATATATATATACATGCATACATATACAACCAAATTTGTTCAAATAAAAGCCCTGGGGTTTAAACTGGCCCCGCTACAGGGGCCTATATACAGGTGAGCGACTTTGGGCCATCATGGCCCTCTTGTTTTTCATTATATGTGTGTAGTAAAAACTTCACATCATGAAATATCTTCTAATGGGTGTCTTCCAAGTTTGCTCAAAGTAAAGCCCTGGGGTTTAAACTGGCCCCGCTCCGGGGGCCTATATACAGGTGAGCTACCTCAGGGCCATCATGGCCCTCTTGTTAGCTTGACTTAAGAAAGTGTATTCACAGCTGTCCTACTCATACCCCAGGGTCCGCATCCAGTTTTCTGATTATTTTTAGTGCAGTAGAATAATTTTTACTCTATTTTTAGCTCACCTTGCACAAAGTGCAGCTGAGCTTTTAGGGTGGCCAACCAAATGTGTCCGTCGTCCGTCCACATTTTATTCAAACGACATCTTCTATAATACCACTCGACCAATATTATTGAAACTTGGCAGGAATACTCTTTGTATGAAGCTCTATCAAGATCGTTCAAAGAATGCCATTCCATGCTAAACTCTGGTTGCTATGGCAACTAAAAGAAAAAACTTTAAAGTGCTTATACTTCAAAATGGAAAGGGCTAGAGCTTAGATATTTCTCACAAGGCATTAGCTTGTTAGTTTCTACAAAATATATTCAAATTATGGTTAGTTGTTGAAAATTGGCCTCTGTTTTGGGGGTTAAAGGTTTTTTTTATATAGACTTTCTTTGTAGGGATAAATTGAGGTAGTGTATCTTGTATTATTTGTCTCAACAGACATTGTTATGAAGATTTTTCTGTTAAAGCATAAGAAAGATGAAAAGTTTGTTGAATGTGAATGTTAATTCAAAACATAGTCAATCAGATTAGCACAAATTTGAGAGCTACAGTGAAGTTGATTTCCCCATTCAATAATGGATTCTTCCATTAATTTCGTAACACCATCAGAAAGGAAGACTGTGTCATTTCCGAAATACAATGTAAAATATTTCGGTTCATGACAATGACTTGCACATTCTATTGTGTAAGATATTGCACAAAGAAACGTAAGTGAACAAAAAATGTTGTATTTTTTTCACAAAAATTAGTTGATTAAGATAAAAGTTTAATTTACAGTAGCCTACGGATATTACTTTTTAACATCCTTTCAGTTTGCGGGGAAAATCATATATTTCAACATCGTCTACACCGGTCTTACTGATGAACGATTTATGTCCTAATACATTGTATTTCATTCTGAGAACAAACATACAATTCAAACCATTAAATAATGCATATCAATGAGTCCATTCAACAACTTAAAAAAATTGAACTTTGCCTCAGAAAACATCTATATCAATCTGACCTCGAGTTGAGATTATAAATAGAACTAAACCGGAAGTCCGCCATGTACAAGAAAATTGAGAAATTTTGTAACATAAACTCGTATTTCATAACAAAGAAGTGAAGATGAATACAATTATCTGTGTGCTTCGTTGAAAC